CCTCACCTTCCTCCCTGTCTGCCCTCACCTTCCTCCCTGTCTGCCCTCACCTTCCTCCCTGTCTGTCCTCACCTTCCTCCCTGTCTGTCCTCACCTTCCTCCCTGTCTGCCCTCAGCCTCTTCCCCATATGCCTTTAGCCCCCTCCCTGCCTGTCAGGCTGGCTGGAGCAGGGAGCACTCCAGGCTGCAAGACTGACCACAGCTCAAGGCCTGTCACCCTTTCAGAAGGGATGGGTCAGAGGTAGGCTGTGTCCTAGTTCCCTTGTGACCCCATCTTGGGCTCTGGGCCTAGTGTTCTTACCATACTCTCAGGCTTTGCACCCCTAGGCTGTGACAACAGTGCCTGTCCCAAGCACACAGGGTAGGGGGTGGAGCAGGAAAGGGTCCCACTCGGGGCTTGATGCTGGACCAGTACAAATGCCCCTGACCTCAGTGTGGATCACACCTCAACATCAACAAAGCAAAATCCTTATAGCTAGGCCAACTGGCCACACCATTGTAGATGAAGAAAGGTGTCCACTGTACTTGAATCTATAATCAGTATCCACAGTAAAAGCCGTCAAGAAATGAAAGACGTGGTTTCCCGGGAATATCTTCTGTCAAGGACTTCGTCAAAGAGCAAGGAGGTCTGCTTAAAGACTAAGGTGTGCCTGACATAAGCCACGGTTTTTCAATTGTTTGGTATAGATACAAGTTAGACAATAGATATGGGAGACTAAAGAAGGCCCATTGCCTGGAGCACGCACCTGTTAGAGAAGGGGATGTGGGCAGGCGTGCAGTAGCTGTACTGGTCCATGACGTGCGTGAAGCTCTCCTGAAGCTCCCCCAGTGATGGGGACCCTTGCCACACGAACTGAAGCTCCTGTGGGTGTACGTGGAAGTGACTGTGAGAGCTGCCCACGCACCACCCTGCCCACTCCCCCCCCCACTCTGCCCGACCCTCTCGTGCTTCACAGGTGTCTCTCCACCTGCACCCCGAGGTCCACTAGGTGGACAGGTGCCAGGCAGGGCTCCCCGCTGCTTGAATGCCCGGGGAGCGGCAGCTCACACCTCTCCTGCCCCGGCCTCCTGCTGGGAACGCACACGGAACCCGCACTAACGCAGTCTGCACACGCAGTCCCACCAGTCATTGTCGCTGAGCTGGGCTGGACCCTCACCTCCTGTCCTGAGCTGTCCGCCCCTCATCAGAAGAACGCGCGCCTCCCACCTTCCTGCCTGTGTCACGCTGGCATCTGCGCGATGCCATCTGCAAGGCTCAAGAGCAGACATTCTGTTCTAGCTAAGCTAACTTACTGTTTGCTTTCAGTATTTCAGAGGCATCTCTTGCTTAAGGGCTAAAGGTTATCTTAGAGCAACAGTCTTGCGGGTCCATCCATGGATTCTGTAGAAAGCTGAAATTCTGTCCTGCATTCTCTCCTCCTCTGCTCGGGACTCTTCTGTTGCGTCCTCACCTATTTTCAGTGTGCTGATGGCTAGAAGCGGGACTTGTTCTAGAACAGGGCTATGATCTGGTTGCTGAAACCACGCACAGGTCTCTGGGCTTCTCTGGTGAGACTTTTGCTCAAGGGAGTGGAGAGAACAGGCAGTGTCCAGGGCCAGCCGTGGGAGAGCAGCTCAGACAGCACTGACCTACAGGTGTGTTCAGTAGGAGGCATGGCAGAGTGGCCACTGGCCACAGTGCTACTTTCCTTTCAGGAGCCCACGTCCATGTCTGTAAACTATCACCTAGCAGACTCGGGGATTGGAACATGTCCATGGTGTCAGGGGTTAGCTAGGACTGGGCCGTGTCCATGGTGGTCGGGGGTTTCTCAGCACTGCGGCATGCCCAGGGAGGGGTCAAGGGCTCCCTCTAGGACAGTGTGACCATAGGGCTTGGGTGATACCTCAGGGCTACACCAGGTCTGAGGGGTCAAGGGTTAACTCAGGATGACACTATCTGTGAGGTTGGGGGGCCCCTGAGGACCACATC